GGCATCATCTCCTCCGGATGCAACCTCGCCAGCTCATCGCTGGGCGCCGGAATACTTGCGCTGCCGTATGCCTTCAACACGTCCGGGCTGGCGATGGCGCTGGTGTACCTTGTGGTGGTGGGTCTGCTGACCATCTACTCCTTCACCCTTCTGGGCATCGCCGGGAAGCGGACGGGGCTGCGGAACTACGAGCAGGTCACGAGGGCTCTTCTTGGGAAGGGTGCGGACTACTTTTTGGCCTTCCTGCTTTGGCTTCTGAGTTTTGGTGCGGAAGTGTCTTACGTGATCTCCATGGGCGATGTTGTTTGATGTTGTTTTGGTTTAATTGGTTTTTATTCTAGCCGGTTTTTTTGTTTTTTGTTTCTTTTTTGTTGTTGCCTTGCCAATTTGCCGAAGAAGATTTGTATTTGAAAGAATAACAAAAATAAATGATGTTATACTTTTCGATTTAATTTATTTATATTTTTAAAAAATTCTTCTGTGCTGTGTTTTGTTTCTTTTGGTTTTGGTTTTTGGTTTTTGGTTTTATTTTTTTTTATTTTTTATTTTTTTTTTGTGTGTGTGGTTCTGTGGGTGGTGTTTTTTTTCTTTCCGTCCTGTCGCATTTTTTTTGCTTTTCTCTGTCTTATGCCATTGTTTTCTTGCATTCATACTTGTGGTGTGGATGTATGTATGTTGTGGGAGGCTGGCGTGGTGGGGCGTCATGATGCCTTGACGTTGTGTGGCCCACACCAGGCGGGGCATTGCACGGGTGTTGTGGTGCCCCGGGGGACAGTGTTGGGTTTTCCAGTGCAATTGAGATGCTTGAGGGTATTCGGTCACGGTGCCGCAGAGGTACTGCAGGTGAAGGCGAGTATCGTTTCTCTTTTTCGCATAGTTGTCGCTGTAATTCATGTTGGTGCATGTTTTATTTATTTATTTATTTTGTGTGTGTGGGTTGATTGTATGCGTTCATGCAAATATATATATTTATATATGGACATTTGCATCTCCTCTTTCTTTCTTTCTTTTTTTTTTTTCTGGAAGTGTTTCACGAGCAACTTGAGTGGCGGGACCCCACAATTTAGTTTTTAGGTTTCCCACGTGTGTCAAGATGTTGCCTTCCCTGCCAGTCGTGGCCAGTGTTGCCGATGGCGTGACAGAGTCCAGTGTGTTTTACGACGAGGTCTTTTTTACGGAGCCGGAGCCGGCGAATACCGATGAAACGACGTGTGAGAATTTAGTAAAGACAACGAGAGTCACATCAACGCTCTCTCCCGCAGAGCAGCGTATCCAGGAGCTTAATGCGATGCGGGCAGAGCGTGTGGCTAGGCGACGTAATCCCGATAACATTTTCTTGAAGGCAATGCATGTTGTGATGCCATACGGTGGCATCTTGTCCTCCGCGTTCAACCTTGCTAGCTCGACCCTTGGCGCCGGCATTGTTGCACTTCCCGCTGCATTTAAAATGTCCGGAATTGTCATGAGTATTCTGTACCTTTTTATTGTAGCGTCCATGGCGGTGTATTCCTTTGTGCTGCTTACCGTTGTCGGTGAGCGCACGGGGCTGCGGAGCTACGAGAAGGTGACACGCCTGCTCCTGGGTCGAGGCGCCGACTATTTGTTGGCGGTTCTCATGTGGATTCTTTGCTTTGGTGGGGATGTCACGTATGTCATATCCATGCTGGGAATTATAAAGGGGTTTGTCAACAATGCCGAATCCACACCTGAATTCCTGAAGACACTGCCCGGAAACCGACTGCTTACTAGCATTGTGTGGCTGTTTTTCATGCTTCCTCTTTGCCTGCCGAAGGAGATCAATTCGCTCCGTATTGTTTCTACAATTGCCGTTTTTTTTATAGTCTTTTTTGCCATTTGCATCGTTGTTCACGCGGCACAGAATGGACTAAAGAATGGCATACGGGATGACATTGTGTATATTCAGAGCGGCAATCAGGCCATTACTGGACTCTCCATTTATCTCTTTGCCTACGTGAGTCAGGTGAACTGTTACGAGGTATATGAAGAACTATACAAGCCCAGTGTGGGGAGGATGACGAAGAGTGCAGCCCTGGGAACGTCGCTCTGTACCGTGTTGTATCTTGTTGCCGGTGTGTTTGGGTACCTGGAATTTGGCCCCGCCGTGACGGATTCCGTCCTTTTGCTTTATAATCCCGTGAAGGATAAAATGATGGGTGTCGCGTACGCCGGCATCATTGTAAAGCTCTGTGTTGGCTACGGGCTACACATGATACCATGTCGTGATGCTCTTTACCACATCCTCCACATTGACGCGAGGTTGATTGCATGGTGGAAGAACTCATTGATTTGTGCCACAATGGCGTTCTTGTCCCTCATTGTCGGTCTGTTTGTTCCACGCATCACTACAGTTTTTGGGCTCGTTGGCTCCGTCTGCGGTGGCTCCATCGGCTACGTATTCCCCGCACTCATGTTCATGTACTGCGGCAACTTCAATGCCCGCTCTGTCGGATGGGGGCACTTCATTGGGGCGTATGTGTTGCTGATTGTTGGTGTTATTGCCATCGTCTTTGGGACCGCCGCCGCCATTTACTCGGAGCTGCAAAATGAATAATGCGGGCTTTAGGCACCGTCTGCCGTCTTTTTCCATTTGATGTACGTTGTGCTGCGGACTGTGGGAAGGGGGACTTATGCTGTTTCGTATGCATGATCTTTTTTTTTTTTTTCTTCTTTTCTCCATCTTTGTTTTTTTTCTGCTGCTTTTATTTATTTTATTTTCAATTTTTTATTATTTTTGTTTCTTCACGTGAATTTCATGCACGGACGGTCTTCGATGGACACCGGCTGCAGTCGGCACACACAAGAGGGCCCTGCATGATTATACTTTTCGGGGATATATTGCACCGAACAGGCACACAGACAGACAGACAAAAAAAAAGAAAAAAAGAAAAATAAAAACTTGATTTTGGCTAAATTGCCGAAAAGATATGCGCACATGTACACACGACATGACTTTCACACACACACACACACACGCAAGACTTTTCCCTTTTTTTTTTTTTGCGTTGATTGTAGTTTTTGTTTTTTTATTGTCTTTGTCTTTCTTTCGGTCCCTGTCGTTGACTGTCTTTCCCTGTTAAAGAGGGAAGGGAAGGTTGCTGCACATATATATATATATATATGTGCATAAGAGGTGGGGGAAAAAAAAAAGAATATATTTTTATATTTATTTATTTTATTTTATATATTTAGATGGCAATACGCATACACATTTGTATAATTCAATAAATATATAAATAAATAAATATATGTCTGTGTGTGCATGGTGTGGTGTAGTGAGGATGTTTCTTTTTATTTTATTTTGGTCCCAATCACCTGACTTTTTTTTTATTTTTATTTATTTTGTGTGTGTGTGGCTCCGACTGTCGGAGTGTTTCCTGCTTCTACCCTTTTTTTTTTTTTTTTCTTTTGAGAACCTTTTGCTTCAATGATGTTTTCTTCCTGGCACTTTCATTGACACATGTGCCTCTGAAATTATTATTTTCCTTCCATCTCACCTCTCTGCGGCGTCAATATATTCTCCCTCCTTTTTTTTTTTCTTTCTTTTTTTGTTTGCTTGCTTTTGTGCACGAAGGCGTGCTGCATCACATCTCCTTTCAGCTGCAAGGTACACGCATAGGATTGTAGACGCTCATAAAGGCATATTGGTGTTTGTTTGTGTGTGTGACGGAACCTGCCACGACCGCCTGAGAGAGAGAGAGAGAGGGAGAGTGAAGGATTGTGTCGTACCGCCCTCACCAGCGGTTAGGCAATCATTACACTGTAACACCCATTAATAATAATAATAATAATAATAATAATAATAGTCACATTCCATTTTGAGAATATCTTTCACTTATTATTATTATTTCTTTTTTTTTGTCTGTGTCTGTGTGTGTGCGTGCGTATATCTGTATGTATATATCTTTCCATTATGTCGTTATATCTTCATGACTTGGGTCCAGAGGCGGTGTCGTATCGACATCTACTCGATGAAGTGAAGCGTCAACTTGACATTACGTACGATGAATTTGACTGCTGGATTTATGGATTTTTGGAGAACAAAAAATATAACATCCGGGAGACGGTTGCAAAATTACAACGTCGATTTGCAATGGAAGTCAACGAATTGGCGACGTACACTCTTACGGATTACATGCAGGAGTCATTACGCTCTGGCATTGTTCAGTTTGTTGGGGAGGATAAATTGGGGCGCACGGTGCTTTACGTTATGGCCCAAAGGGACCACCCGGTTTCATCACGCCGAGAAGAAAATAAACGCACTTTTGACATGATGTTGAGCTACGGGACACGTCTTCGCGCTGACAGCAAGCGGTGCCAAATGGTGATGCTCATCAACCAAGAAAAGGCCAGCTTGTGGAGCAATGTGGACATGACATTTCAGGCGGACATTGCCCTCCGTATCGCAAAGTTTTTTCCTGGTGCGGTGGACAAGATGTACATTTGCAAAATGAACCGTACCCTGGCGGCCGTGGCCAAACCCATCTTTTCACGGCTTCCGGCTATTGTGTCGGATCGTATTATTATTATCTCCGATAGCGAGCTGAAGGCTGGGAAGTTGTTGGAGTACTTTGATGAGAGTGTCCTGCCGGTGGCGCTGGGCGGCAGCAATGACTGTGACCATCCGCAACATTGGGCGGAACACGCAGCTTTAGTTGAGGGGTATTACGCTCAGTTAAAAGAGGCGGTACTCGGTGGTGGGCTTTCGGTGAAGGCGTGGGAACTGACTTGTCTTGAGAGGCGTCGTGCGCCAAGTATTATGCATTCAACAGCGTCCGATTTGTGCAAGGCGGACTCCCTTGTGACTTGCTACTCGGGCATGGCTGAAGAATATTACGATGATGTCACCGGGACGGACCTGGGCAGCGAACTTTTGCGAGAGGCAGATGAGTGGAAAAACGCTATGCGCTGTTTTCCGCGCTCCCTGTCCTTGTTTTTTATGGAGGAGCTGCAGCGGTGGCGTATCGCAGTTGACTCGGAAGAGATTGCCGCACGCTACAAAATTCTTGATGAGCATATTGCAGTACGCAGGGAGATGGATGCGTCATTGCCAGAAATTAACGTGAAGGCCACGAATTGGTACAAAAGAATCCCCATGCAGCTTCGCTTTCTCTACCGGTTTGGGTTTGTTGCCCTCGGGGTATTAAATGGCGTATATTTCTTTGCTGCCCTTGTCTTTCTTGCAGTTTTGAGCGCAAATGTTATCGCAACACTCTTTTTCGGTTTCTTTGTGAGGTGGAATTATATCTTTCCCCTTGGCGCGACACTCGCCATGGCTGTCATTCAAGGCTTTGCTTCGTGTTCTCGTGCGGTGGAAATGCTTGTCGCCATGGCACGCGGAAAAGTCATTCGACCATTTGAGACCATTGGGACCCAATTGGGATCGGTGGCGCAAATGTGTCTTTTTGTGGTGCTGGTGGCGGTGCAGTTTATTGTTTTCTGCGTCTACGCCACGTTGTACTCCCCGCTGCGTGGTCTGCAGGTCTCTTTTGCCGTCGGGTGGTTGAGCGCTGTCTTTATTGTGGCAATCTGTCATCTGGTATTTTTTTTTGACTGGCTGAATGCGCGACAGCGGTTACGGAGGGGTCGGCATATTATACCGCTCTCACTTTTTGTGCTGCTGAACCTACACGAGGCGGCGGAGCGGGATTTGGACGTGTACGCGATAACAACCTCATCTTACGTCATATGTGGCATCCCTGTCTTTCTGAGCATGTTTCTTGGCATTGGGTTTCTGATCAGTCGTATCGTTGGGTTTGCGGCAGCTGTTTGTGCGGCAGCTGTGCTTGCTTCGTTTACAGCCACGTATTACTTGGATTCCCTGTCAAATGCGCTAAGCGGCAAACTGCTCCGAACCGCCGTATGGATAGCCAGCTTGGTGTGGGTCTTTGACTGCTACGCCTTTGGATTTCTCAACGACGGTCGTAAGTGGTACGTGCCGGTTGTGATCGCGTCCATCATATCCATCTGGTTTCTCTTTGTCTCCTTCATTTGCTTGAAGAAGGACGAGTTTCATGTTCTCTCACGTCTGACGGTTGTGTCCCTTGTGATTCTTTTCTGTGCCACATGGATCTCGAGTTTCCCTATTGTTGGTTGGAGGATTGGCCTCTTTTGTGTTTGCCTCATGATCCACAATGCACTTGGGATGCTCGTTAGCCGTGCGGAGCTGACGAATATTGGCGGAGTATTTGTGGTGTCCGCGGCAGCTCTTTTGATCATCATGTCCTGCACACTACTTGGCTGGTACGGCACAAGTCCGCATTGCGCATTACCCCGCAGTCTTTCACGTGAGGCGGCGGCAACTCCTCTGACGCCACTTGCGGAATACCACCGTTACCCCGTCTGCAGCCTTCGTACGGCAAGCGGGCTTGCCATTACCGATTTGGCGCTGCTCACCCAACTTGTCAATTCTTACGGCACCGACGCCTTTTTTTTTGACTTTGAAAACTGGTTTAACTCCACCGATTTTTCATATGGCGGCGTCGTCCAGGAGTTTTTTTCCGGGGAGGG